CCTAATATCTTGAGGAAGTTCCATGGAACATTATTTTAAGAACAGTGAGAACACTTTTCAGCAAGAAAGTGAATACATTAGTTTGAGATCATACTCCAGGCCACAGTGATCTCTCCTCCTTTGAACTCCTCAGGGCACTTAACAATCAATGCCACATGATTTCAGTTAATTGTCCACTGATGTAAGTTGACTTGTTTTACAAAATAATGGAACAGCTCTTTAATGACAGGGATTGGGTATCAAACTTTTTTCAAATCCTCCACTGGGTATAATATTTGTTATCAACATAATATTCTAACTGAAAGATGATTTATTTCTGATTCATAATTTATAAAGGAGCCTGCTATGCCAATTTGCTAATCTAAGATGTAAAGCAAAATGGAATATAATTGTTTTTAAAAGTATGCTACCTTACTTTCTCAGGCTGGTGACCCTTCATTCCTTTGCTACCAGCTTTCCATTTTCATTTATCAGCATTATTTATTTTTTTCTCCCTGTAAAGAAATATAACAATCTGGGGATCAAGTTTTTTCTTCTCCACATCTGATGATCAAACACTTGAGTCATTGTTCAGTTCAGGCCATGAACACTTCCTTATATTCATGCGTGTCAGATCATTACACAGCACTTGGTCATTTTGATGTTCTTGTTCCTCAGTTTGGAAGAGGGAAGCAGGTGTCTTGCTTGTGCTGAATGTAATACTAATGACACCAATAAAGGAGTGTCCCTTGAGCCAGCTATATTTAAGGGAAAGCTCTCACATAAAATAATGAAATATAATTTATTTATTAAAGAATAAAAACTGATGACCTGGTATGTGGCTGCATTTTTCCCACTGCTGAGTAACTCAGCTCTGTTCAGTTTCTATTCTTGTATCAACATCCTTAAAACCTAGAGGAAAGAGAAAACGCTTAACCCAGTGAAAACGTGGAAAAATAAGTGTTATAGGAAGTCTCTAGCAGCCTTAACTTTAATATCAAAGGGGACTTTTATCCATTCTGAGCATTTATTATATGTTTATCTTTTTTATTGCAAATAAAGTTCTTATCAGGTTTCACATTTATTCATCTGGGCCCTAAGCAAGAAATTAAACTTAAGATCTTCTTCTCTAAATGGGTTTCCAAGTGCTGGTATAAAGTATGACAGATTTGACAAACGGGCTCAATAAAAGGGGTCACCACTTTGCTCCCCTAAAATGAAGAGGTTGCTCATGTCCTCAGTGAGAGAGCAGTTGTCCTATTTTTATCTTTTAGTTTACACTATTACATCATAAGTGTTGAAAAATATTTTACTATATGTATTTTAACACCAACCGTTTAAATTATAATGCTCAGTCAAAACACTTTCTCCCTGGATTACAAAGAGGTGCTCATATTTAACTGACAATCTGTATTTTTAATACTTGCCCTATTTAATTTCATTCCCAATTAGGATTTCTCATACCTACTTAATAAATTCTTAACAGTGCATCTCTTCAGACCGAGCAAAATGTAGATATCATTCAGATGTGAAGACCTATTACAAGATTGAAAAAGATTTCTAATGCAATTATCATTCATTTTTGTAGCATGTGATTTAAATCAGAAAAAGAAATGACAAATGGTTTGACAGATTCTACTCATATACACCAAAACATAACACACTTCAACTAGTTTTTGGCTATTATGGGCCTTAACATGCAATGTGACCTTGGTCTGAAAAAACACGTTCCGTTAGCACAGAAACTTAATCATAAGAATTCATAAGTAGAATCCTTCTTCTTTACTGCCCTTTTCTAGGACTGGAAAATTTATTGCTTGTGGGACAGGTAGGATATGTACAATGGGACAAATAGAGACCAGGGTTATCTCATCAGTGTGAAAACTGCTGCTGAAAATCGATGTGACCTCTGCTACACTGTCATCCCAATTCCCACCCTCTGTGTCCTATTTGTCTTTTGGTAAAAGCTTAGATCTGTGTGCTGTCTCTATGTGTCTCTCTTGGGCTAGATTATCAAAATGAATCATTGCCTGGATACCTCTTATATTTCTATTTATTTTCCTGGTCTTGACTAGGTCTGATGAAATATGATTCTTTTTGCATTTGATCCACACCACAACAAGCAGCACCTAATTCAGTTGTGTCTCTCTCTTTAAAGAAGAGTAATACTATTTTGAAACTTCAATTTACTGTACAGCAACTTTACAAACCATGGACCATGCAACCTGTCTTTATAGTCAATAGTAATTTTCCTTTCAGCCAATTTGATGACATATCTTTCATATTTCCAAATAGAAGAGTTCTGGTGATTTTAATGTAGTTGTAATTTTGTTTTATGCATATGGAATATATTACTTTCTTTTTCAGGCATCTTATTTGTAGGATGTCCCTCAGATTCTTATCACTGAGATTATGTGTATGTAGAGTGAAACATAACAAGGAATTCATTAATTTTAAGAACTCTGCCTTGATACAAAATATTTATTTAGAGAAAACATTATGTTACCTCTGAATCTGCTGAAAGTTAGTTTTATTACTTTGTAGCACTTTGTTATATAAAAACAGATCTTCCAGGTTACAAAATTCTTAATTTAATATTTATAAACATCAATATAAAGGTGTAGAACCTCCCCAGTTATTATTAATATTGATAGATCATTATGAAGTCATTCTATATACTAAATGTACTCTTGTGCAGAAGACAAAGTACTATACAGACTTTTAAGAATACAAATAAAGCATAATATTGCTCAGTTAGATATTGAGAAATGTACTTTAGAAACATTAGAGCTGCTGCCTAAGACATATTTTAGGATTCATTTTTTTTAATGAGGTGTTTCTAATGATCAAACTTCATAGCTTAAATAGATCACAGATTTGTGATAATGTGCTTATTCCCTCTGGAATACTTCACCTCTTCCAAAACTACCACTGACAAGGAAAGAAAGAAGGAAGGAATGTTCTAAAAGAGGTTATTATTTCTCAATTTTACTTAAAGCAACTCCTGAAAATATGTTCATTTCATTATACCTTCCTGTGGTAAAAGAAAATTAGCAAGTGAGTTCATGCATTTTATTGAATTCTTTAAAACTGATAAACAAATATCCTTTATGACATTTTGAATTCAAATATTATGAAATGATTTACTAAAATGACCATTTAGCAACTTTTATCTCCTATAGGTTTTGGAAAATTAATAACTGTAAAGATGATCTATATTAAGAGCATTGTATTCAAAGATAATGTTATCCCGTTAAGTAATCTCACAGGTTTCCGCAATTTATGACACAGTTTCCCCAAACAAGAAATCTACAGCAAACCATGATGACTGTAAATCAATGGGGTTCAAGACTCTGTACACTATATATAAAGGCTTCTTGGAACTGAAAAGTGAGGTCTAATTGTGTGTCAAATCCATATTCATATCCCTACAGGAACCAGAACCAATAGCTAGATTTTTGTTCCCAAACCATGTGAAAACTGGTTAGGTCTAGAATCCAGTCTAGCTTTTTTTCTTTTTTTCACTGAGCGAGTCTTAAGAAATATATGGGGTCACTGAAAAATTTTCTGACCAGAGAAATGCATGTCTTCAAACTCTGCTTGTACCCAGTTGCTGAAGTAAAGAGATTGTGGTGAGTAATTTTGTTTGAGGTGCTATGATTCACCCCATCATGCACTGCTGTTGAAACCATTTAAGAATACCAGGGTGTGTATAGTACATTCCAAGATTACCTATTTGCAGCAGTTTATTTTTACATATGTCAAACATAAATCAATTCCTAATTGTAGAGGAAACTTTGCTACCTAATTCATTCATCTCACATAGAAGACTTTCAACCACAATGCAGGTAGATCGCAAAGCAGTTAGCTTCTCAAAGAGGAGATTCCTTTTGTAATTATGTGTATATGTCCAAATCAAATCTGAAACATCTTATTAGACTAAAATTTTCCTGTGTGTTTATCTAAAGCTAAGAGAGAATCTCATTAATGCAATGCAAATGTGTAATATACTTCCAAAAATAAACTTGTGTTTCCGCACCATAAGTATTTTTTTTCATAAGGAATATTCTTCAAAATAAAAGGTGACATTAGAAACAATCCAATACCCATCAACTAGTGAATGATTAAACAAAAAGTGATGCATACATGCACTGGAATACTTTTCAGCACTAAAAAGGAAGAAGGCGCCGATACATGCCACAACATGGACAAACCTCAAAAACGTTATGCTGAGTGAAAGAAGCCAGACATAAAAGACTACATATTGTATGATTCTGCTTATGTAAAATATCCAGGAAAGATAATCCTGTAGAGACAAAAAGTAGATTAATGGTTTCCAGGGGTTGAGAGTGGGAAAGGAGATTAACTGTAAAAGGGCATGAGGGAAATTTGGGGGTTATTGAAGTGTTCTAAAATAGATTTGCAGTGCCGTAAATTTAATAACAATCATTGAAGCATACACTTCAAATGGTTAGCACACATAGCGTAGGTGGGGCACGGGGAAGGCAGTATAGCACAGACAAGACAAGTAGTGACTCTATAGCATCTTACTACGCTGATGGACAGTGATGGTACTGGGGTATGTGGTGGGGACTTGATAATGGGGGGAATCTAGTGACCACAATGTTGCCCATGTGATTTTATATTACTGATACAAAAATAATAAAAGAATGGAGATGATAGATAATAGATATAGATAAAAGATAGATTTGAAGAAAAAAATAAAAAGAAATTTAAGCTTTACCAGGAGGTGATATTATTTAATTGAAAGGTATTCATAAACATATCTAAATTTCATGCCTCTTTAGCAGTAAATATTTCATTTCACTGATTCTTTACTGAGATATTTGTGTTAAGAAACTAGAGGCAGCTGGGAAATAGGTATGACTTCCAATTATGAGTGTTCCATCATTTAGTTTTAGAAACAAAATTTTTATAGATGCCACTAGAGGTGAAGGAAACAGTGAATATTTTGAGCTGATAATTTGTAAGCCTTCTGATATTAATTTTGTTTCTTGCAGAGGAGGTACCAGTTCAAATTCCCATAATGAAGTCACCCTTGGACAAGATCCAATTGGCTCCTGGGCAGGCACTGCCTCCTGGATTCCCTGGACCATTCATTTTTGCTGATAGTCTGTCCTCCGTGGAGACTCTGTTGACCAACATTCAGGTCAACAATATTTCTATAAACAAAATAAATGTAATACAAGACGTTAGCACCTATATAAATTATATCATATTTTAGAAATTAAAACAGATAAGATGAACTGTATGTCATCTGCTGTACTTTGACAGGGTCTGCTGAAAGTGGCTTTGGATAATGCTCATATTCAGGAGAAGCAGATTCAACAAGAAAAAAAGGAACTGCGAATGGAGCTCTATAGAGAGAGAGAAGTTAGAGAAAACCTTGAAAGACAACTTGCAATTGAACTTCAAAGCAGAAGTAAGTTTAACAAGTTCAAGTACAGAGTGAATATTGCATTGGAGATGTTTTCAGTAATAACTGAATTAGTGTCAGGTATAGCTTGGAAATGCTGAAAACAAATTACAATCTAAGAATCAAATACTATGTGTAATCCTCAAGGAAAGATATTTATACTATTTCTCTTTGAAATAAAAGGTAATGAATGAGATCTACATTTTAGGCCCACTGCAGATTTGGAAACATGAATATTCTTATTCTCTCACAATTTCATAAAGTATACCTAGATATAAATAATCCAACAATTCCTTATATGTGAAATTCTTACTCTTTGTCAGGAACAGTGCTAGATTCTCGGGGTATAAGATAAATAAAACTCAGTCCCTGTCCTTGAAAGATTTATATTTTAGATGGCTAGCATAACCAACCAATTAATTTCTAGGCAAAGTGACAAGAGCAAGGAGGCACATTACATATGGTTATGTAGAGAGAGATTTAATTCAGTTTGTTCAGGTGGAGGGTAGATGGTTGAGGAAGCCTTCCTGATTCTGACACCTGAACCTAAGTCTTGAAAAATCAGTAGGCCAAGAAAGGGCATGAGAGTACCTGAGTGATTTGAACATTCTAGACGGAGGTATCAGCAAGCACAGACATGGAGGTAAGAAGCCTCATACATGGACAACTATTGACAGTTTGTTATTACCATGACTTTGAATTTTATGAAGTGAATAGTAGGAGATGATGTGGAAGCTAAATTATGAAGAACATTTTTAACCATGTGAAAGATTAGCTTAGACTTTGTCTTGTAGGCAATGGAAAGTATGAAAAGATACGCAGAGGAATGATTTTGTCTGTTTTCAATAGATAGACCACTCCATCATTGGAAATAAATTAGAGGAGCTTTGGAGTAAAAACAGAAACAAGGAAACCTTGTAAAAGGAGATTGCTGTCACCCAAAGCAGTGGTGATACAAAAGTGAGTTAAGGTAGCTCAAGTATGGATAGAGACAAAAGGGAGAGAATGGAGAAATATTGTTCACAAATAGAATTAACTTTCCAACCATGGGTAGATATTTGATTATCTACAGATATGTATAATGAGTCTACACTGGCTCATTATCAAAACCCAAGAAAAATAAAAAATTTAACCAATAATTTCCATCTCTTCCTTAAATTTACCATAAAATACTAACAGCAGAAAAAATGACTATTGTGAATTTCAGCTTCTTTCTCTTTGCTTAATTTTTCTATGGAAGAATCACAAAGCAAAAATTAAGTAAAGCTGTTCAAGAGTGAGAAGGAAAGGTAAAGAAATGGAGAGAAATTCTAAAACTTGGGTGATGCCACCCTGAACAAGGAAGAATGACTCCAGTTGACTCCACTGTAATTTACAGTAACTTTATACTACTCCGTAGTAGCATATTATATTCTGAAATTTGTGTGAAGAAACTGAAAACGTACTGGATATTTTTGTTAGAGCCTAAGAATTATTGATCCAGCTCAAAATGGAAATTCAGCCATTGCATTTAAAAAGAACTGAAACTCTTCTCATCTTGCAAAGTCATTAAATACTACTAAGCAAAGGCTAAATTGTCTTTTGAAAGTTTGGAGAAATTGTTTTGAAATAAATTTTTTAAGTTTATTTCTGGTATTTGGTATGCAAAATAAATTATTATGATTAGTAGTCATAAAAAGAACATTTCTTTAGTAGGGAGAATTTTTATACTAAGGAACCAAATAATTATGTTAAATATAATAACTTTCAAATTGACTTATGAAACTCTACTACATATAGTAAAATTGGCTTCTAATTTTTAGGGATCTACTCATTGATTTCTGTTTACTAACTTTGCACACACTCTTCAGGTCTGTCTTTATAATTGCTACCACATCTATTGTTTCCAAAAAGTCCCACACATGGTAAATGTAATATTGTATCTGTTATCAAGTTTACTCCAAGGTATTGTATTTAATTACATTTATTATGATATAATAATAATAATAGTAATAATAGCACTACTACATTACTACCACTATTACTACTGCTGCCATTACTAACATTACTATTACTTCTACTACTAACAAATGCTTATCAGCTGTCTGCTATGTGCTCAGCACTGTTTCTAACATTTTACATATAGTGACTAATTATAGGAAATGGTTCTGTTATCTTCACTGATTTAGAGAAACTATCTACTTCATATCTATGAATCTCAGTATCTTCATCTGTTATAATAGTTGAACTGGATAATCTCCTAAATTCCTTCCTAATTCCCTAAATATCTCATTCTCATTGTACTCAACTTTTTATGACAAAGTGTGAACTGTTTGTATGAAGTCATATTATTGAAAAGAAAGGGGAGGAAAATTGATATTATGATTGTAAAGTAACATCTGTCCAAGTAAATAAAAAGAATAGTAACATTTATACATACAAAAAGGACATATATATGGAATCCCTGTGGCTATCTTTTTCTTTCCAATTAAAGGAAGCAATGTTTCACACTCAAATTAAATATTCCACCTAACTACCTTTATATTGTTAGCCAGAATGTTAATTGAATTAAATACACATATACATACATGATAATATTCCTTGCAGATTAAACTGTTAGAATTGTGGAATGATAGAGCTACAAGAGAGCTTGGAGGCCACCTGTCTTGGCCCTTGATCAACTATATGGTTCCCAGGCTTTGAAACAACTCCTTATGTGGTCTTTGGCCCTCAGGCTATGAAAAGTCCTAGCTGTGTGATCTTGTGTAAATTTCTTGACTTTTCAAGGATTCAGTTTCCTCATCTATGAAATTGAGATAATAATATTTTCTCAAGTTTTTGTAAGGCTTAAATGAGATATAGTCCCAGTATAGTAGCTTCTAATGAAATCGTAGTTTTTTTATTTATATGATTTTAAATCTAATACATTGCTTACAATATATGGAATCATAAATTTCAAGGGAATCAACATATAGAATATTTTTGAGCCTATAATCTTACTGTAAGCAAAATTTTATCTTATCAAGGAGGTTACATTATACATTATTTGAAAAAATCTAGGTTTCTGATTTTAATAATTTGTGAAATGCTCATTTTGAATGATAAGTACAATTACAATAGTAATATATTTTTATGTTCAACCTTATTGAACGGTCTTTCATCAAAAATAATAAAAACCATACATTCTCAGTCTTTGTTCCAAGATTTCCATTTTATTACCTTAGATCTCTGAATTTTTGTCACAGGAAAATATGAATTTACCTGGGTAACTGACTCTCTTCAAGTTGCTAAAGGTCATTTATATGAAAAGGCATTGAACTGTGAGATAAGTACAATTGAAACTCAAATTAGCATTATATTCAGTTCAATCAAAGTATTTTAATTATATTGACTAATTTTAACATTTTTAAGTGTCATGTAATTTATTATTTTTCTTAATGTTCCTTGAATGTTTTTCTGTTGCCATAATGTCAGTATCTTAATTTTTTAAAACTGATTTAGGAAGAATGTGAGGGCTAGTCTGCTTAGAACTAATGTATTCTATTTGAGAAATTATCACAGGTTTCAAGGTTTCAAAGTTTAGAAGCAATCATACATTGGGGTACTTAAAGTTCTGGTTAAGATACAAAGCCTTGAGAGTTCAGGTATGGTTGTCCTTTAGCTCTTCATTACCTTTTCTGCTTGTGCAGGAAATGCTATTGTGCTTTCACAGGATGCTTAATATAACCATTGCTTAAAGTTATTTTCTTTAAAATGATAGATAGATAGATAGATAGATAGATAGATAGATAGATAGATAGACAGATAGATAGATAGATATGGAGAGTTTGATGGTATATGCATATATTGAAAGAGATAGATATTTGCCCATACAACTGTTAATATTTCAGAAATACAGTCTGAGTTCAGAGAGGCCTCAGTAGCACAAAAGGCTTTGTACACTTGATACTGTAAATTTTAAAAGACCATGTTTTGCAACCCAATAAATATTTTTGGATTTTTTTTTGCATTTTGAAGTATGAATAAGCAATAAACTGATGAGTAATAAGAATATCTTTCTTAAGAGATTTATAAAATATTTGATGCTATTATTAGATGCATGTTGTTCATCAAAGTAGAAAATAATTTTCTACTACTACTACTACCATTATATAAATATATGTGTATTATAGAGCATACACACTGGTAAGGTGAAAGCACAAAGAAGTCAATTGTATGACTGAGCCTCTATTGTTGAGTGTAATGATTATCGGAACCAAAAGAAGCTTATCATATGTCTACTGATACATTTATTTCTCTCTCTTTGTATCTATATCTATGGTTTATAATCCATCAAAACTGGCAACTATTTCATTGACCAAACATTTACCATTTCACATTCTAGCTACCATGCAAAAGCGCCTGAAGAAGGAGAAAAAAGCCAAGAGAAAACTGCAGGAAGCCTTGGAATTTGAATCAAAGCACCGTGAGCAAGTGGAGCAAGCACTTAAACAAGCCACTACTAGTGACAGTGGCCTGAGAATGTTGAAAGGTAATGTCTGATTAAACAGAACCTGATTTAAAAAGTGAAATGAAGGAAGTAGGGAAGGAAGGGAGAGAGGGAGGGAGGGAGGGAGAGATGAAGGAAGGAAGGAAGGAAAAGATTTTATCCAGGAATAAGTAAAAAATCAATTTGAGGCCAAGTACTTTAGGTCATTAATTAAATCTACCAAAATAATCTCTATTCTGGGAGATATAAATAGCCTAGTAATAACAGGAAATCCTGCTGACTTGCAGTAGAAGCAGTAATACTGATAACCTCCCTGCACCTAAAGTGTGTTTTAAATCCATTCATGTTAAAATATGCTGATGTTTAGTGTACCCTCTTTTAATGAGCTATATAAGATGCTGGTTCCTTTAATACAGAGTGCATCAGTGTTAAGGCTTAAGGAGCACCTTGCTGGAAAAGAATCTTCTAAGTAAATCACTGGAGATCTTGTGAGAAGACGTGCTTCCATCATGACATCTCTGATTTCCAAACTTTTGATTCCATTTTTAATTATGAAATCCTACAACATAGTTTCATCTCATAGAACATTCAGGTTCTTTCATAGCACACTGAAAGCACTTATATTTAAATTTTTAAGTGTGTATAACAAGGATGAGCCTAAGATTCATATACATGCATGTACCCTTACATCCCCCATACACACACATGACACACACATGAACTAAAAGGGGGTTGCTTCAGTGTTCTATACTAAGAATGAATAAAGAATTTTGCACAAATGTTCAATAGTATTGTTTCCTTTCCAAAAGTTCAGTTCCCTTTTTACTGTGACTGCCTTGAATCAGTGCTCACAACCAATAAGAAATGTAGTGCTAAATTATTAGCTCCTGACAACCATGCCTCACTGAGACACAGAAGAGAGAGGGTAAAAAATATTCTCTCATACAATGGGACAACTTTTGCTTATCGAACATCTTCAAAATAATATTTCTGACAAGCAATGGGAAAAATATTCTGTGCACTCTTACTATTGAGGCCTCCCTGAACTTATCATTCTGAGGCAATTTGACATTTTTTATAAATATTTGAAATCCACCTACAAATGAGCTCCATTCGAGCTCTAGTGTTCTCTATTACAAAGGAAAACCAGCAGTTTCTACAGAGTGATGGGTAGCTTGTACTCAAATCACTTCCTTCTCACATTAATCCTTGATGACATTGAGTGATACACTGGCATCTGTTAACATTACCCAAGGGTGTCCGAGCAAATGTGTACATACATAAATGCTCATATTAAGCTGTGCTTCATGTTATGAATAGCTTTGAGATAATCACATTTCATATTTAAAATTGAAAATAAAAACCCAACTCCTTGTTTGGCTCAAATTTTTTAAAACAATTCATGTAGCCCTTTGTGCCTAGAGCCAGTACTACATAAAAACCACAAGCCCTAACTTGTGGTTTGGTGTTCACAAGCACTTAACAAAGAGATAATCTCATCATCTATCACATTTTACAAATAAAAAAATACACCGTAAGGATGAGATACTTCCACGTATGCTATTGTGTCCATCTTTTCTTTATTCCACAGTCAGAGTGTGCTACCTGATAGTCTAAGGAGAATTTTATGGACAGATTATTTTCCTGAGATGTATCTCTAGAGAATAAAATGAATAAAGAATATCATATGCCATATACCTGGAAATACCTGTCCAATTGTAGAATTCAGCTACAATTTATAATCCTCCCAAATTAAATGTACATAAACAAACAAATAAACAAACAAAACTTCACCCAAGGTTTTGTGTTATCTATAGGACCAAAGTACTGACTTACTGAGAGTTTTCACTTTCAATGGAAACAGGAAAAACAGGATTGTACCTTCATTTTAAATGTCACTTCTTTCAGATACTGGAATTCCAGATATTGAAATAGAGAACAGTGTGACTCCTCATGACAGCACTGCTATGCAAGGTACAGTGGACAGTGTACTTCTCTCTATAACTTAATATGTGTTTAATATATGACCACTGGGGTTGAAGTGGGGACGAGCTCCTATTTTGATCATTTTCATATGTGTAAGACAAATAAGTCTAACTCTTCTTATTTTATGACAGAGGAAGTGTGCAGTGTTTTTTGAGATTATATACATAGGGACTAATGATTTTACATATATGTGAGCAAATTTCTTATATGTTTAGCTGTTAAAAGGATGTGTTAGGCATTCTAAAAATGCAACTGTGAATAATATTTACCTTTCAGCAGTGTACAATAGTATACTTTTAAAAATCTAGTTACTTTAACAGATACAGTAATCACAACCTATCAGTATTTTGAAAGTGTTCCGGACAACATTTGTTATCAACCCTTAAATTCGAATGCTAATTTTAGGTAATTTTAAAACCACCTAAACATGGAAATAAGAGCAATACTTGGAATTCATGATTTGCAGGATTCCCATAAATGCTTATATCCTTTAAAATATTTTTAAAATATTTACAGTAAGAAAATAGATGAAACAAATCAACATAGTCTCATTGGAGTGCAAAAGCACCTAAAAATAAAAACTGAATTGGACCATTGCAGTTTTTCCAGTGTGATTTTAACACAGTTTTCTAGCCTTTCATATGTAGATGATATTTGTTTTCACATTTATTGTGAGAAAAAGGGACTCATTCTAATAAAAGGAAAAGGTTTCTCCATGTGAAAACGATTTCCTAACTTTCAAAAAGAAAGACAGCTGTGGGAATGTTGCTTGCTGGAGGTTTAACTAATTAGTGCCTTACCACAGTGTGATGACTGGATCGACAGGAAAGCAGCAGAACTGGATGTGACCAAAAGATCCATTCGGGTTCGTCTAAGGGTCACCATTTTATGTGGTAGCTTCAGAAAATTTAAGAAACATTTATGTCGTTTTGCATGTATCTTTACAAAATGAGGGGTGTCAGAGCTCACGGGTCTTCTGGTAATGCCTAATTCTGCTACAGTTAGGTAAACCCAACTAATGCATTAGATTTGCTGGGTGTGAAAGCATGCATGTTTAGTGCAAAGAAGCTTTTGCTGTTTCTTATTCCTCTTTTGCTTGCCTGCTTTCTTCCCTCAACTTAAAGACTGTGTCTCTGTGAGCAAAGCCAATTTGGATGGGACTCAGTGTTTGTCCAATCAATTCACCACAGTGAAATTCATGGAGACCCACTAGCTGTGAGCTATGACTATTTAAGGTTGTCACCACGTATCAGGGCCAAGGTAGGGTTGAGTAAGCCTGAAACATCTGATCCCTTCTGACTCTGCTACACACAAATATAGACCCAGTCTTTAAGGAGCACTGAGCTTGATTGTGCCCCTCCCTTGAGTGGAATGACAAGGTCAGCTTTGGAACTGGATGGGGTAAGCCAAACATACCGTTAGTGGGTTCTATATCATCCTTTATCTTATACTCAGTTCATTGCTGTTTGTTTAGTTTATGCTGCCTTTAGTCCACAGTAGTATTAATCTTTCCCACTTCTGAGATAAATATAAGCTTTTGAACTGTCCTAAAGTTATTTCAACAAACAACAGATCTCTTATCCATGGGAGGTCAATTAGGTGATATGAACAAAAGGTAGATTAGCTCTCCACTGGCCTCATTTTTTTTTATTTTAATAAAGTCTGTAAAGAACAGGTTTTGCATATTAACTTGTGATTAGGGGAGGACACATTTAATATTTGTTTTCACTAAACATACTTTTCATAAGTTTTTGCTGACTAAACATGAGAGTATTAGATACACCTTTAACAGTATTGAGATGGAACTTATTTTAAAGCAAGGGAATTAGCCCATTTTGTGAAATTACAAATCAAACTGTCTACTATTTGTGCTTAATATTGTCAATATATAGTCAAATATGGTGGGTTAATAATTCCATATTGAATGCCTTTTAGGCTATGTTAAATAATATTCTTGATAAATGTGATAAAAATGGAAAAGTGCACATTCTTGCCTCTCTTACCACAGCATTTAAGCACTGTAAATGATAAAATGCTCATCATCAGTTTATGAAAAACTAGAGTGAATGTCTTGTGTTAATGTGACAGTAGAATATCAATTCAATATCTAAAAGAAATTATTTTTGAGCAAAAAAAATGATTTTTTCTATAGCCAGGGGAATAGGTGCCTCAAAATGTTATCAGAACTAATCTTAAATATAGCCCACCCAAATCAGCCAATTCAGTAATTACCTGAAAAATTCCAATAATTTAAAAATTTAAAATTTAAATTTAAATATTACTAAGATGCTCAGAATTAAAAGATAACTTTTATATATATCTATGAACTTCAGAAAGTGTAAACTTCTTGGAAAACATAAAATGCAAGCTTAACCATTATTTTTCCATTCTTCTTAATAATTTTGCTCTTGTGTGTTATAATTCTTTTGTTTTGTGCCTTATTTTGATGCTGTTCATTTTTTCCACTTCCCTCAATTATCCATTTTTTAACTTGGAAGATTATTTCCTAACATTGTTTATGAGGGTTAACTCATGCATGTCAATCTAATGCCATTTCCAATCCTCATCTCCATCACAGCAAAGGATTCCAGCATCGAAGTTTTTTCTCTTCCTGCTGTCAATAGCTCTGCTGGATAGAAACCTATCATTCACCTAGTGCTATCCCTTTTTAGTTCAATTGGTTCCTCTGCTGTGACATGTCTTTAAGAGAGTTTAAATAGGACTTGAAAGAATGTTGCATGGCTATCCTTAGAAATAATGAAGTCATGTACAGTTTTATGATAACTTCCACATACATTTTAGTACAAACTGCCCATGTACTAGGATTCTTACATGTATTCTGAATCTCTCCAACTTAGATATTTCGCGTCTCTCATATGTTGAATGTTGTTTGAAAGACAAGATAGCATGCATAAACACCTTCTGATAAAAGGATTTCTATGTCCCTTTTATTTCAGCAGTTGGTGATAGTAACTCCTCCTGAATATTTTAATGTGATCAAACTGAATACGCACTCACTCTGATAACTGTGTCCACTACTGCTGGAGGTGAAGAATTCGGTGGATCATATACACTAATATCCTCCCATTCAGATTCCCGTAACTCAGTTGGGGGCTGCAAGACAGCACATCAACCATCTTATCAACCAATCTCCGTTTCACATAAAATAAACATACCGGGTGTCATTAAGTGCACCTTCATATCAATGAATTTTGTAAATGACATTCAAGTACCATTTGCATAGTGCATTTTTGCTGATAAAAGCAAATTAAATTAGCACAACTACGAGTGTGCTGATAAAAACTAAAACCGAACAGCAGTACCATTAGCTAACAAAGTAATATTTTCTCTTTACTGCGTTCTGCCATTTAGTTATTATCCTATTGGAAATCTAATTATAATCCTTTTACTCCCTAGTCAAACTTCACAGTTTTTGCAAGCTTAGCACTGACAAGTGATTTCATTACATTTGATTGCCCGTGCCCAGATTGACTTAACTTCACTTGGAGACCTAAAAGCCCTCTCAGTTTCTCAGATTCCCTGTTTGCACATTACAGCAACAGCTCCTTTAATTAATTAGCATGAACAGCAGTAACATGAACTGCTGAACAGAAAATAACATCATTTTATGATCGCAGGGAGACTTCTCCTTTTGCATGTTTATACCTTGGTTAACTTTTGTATGACTATATTTCATTGTTAGGGGCTACTGGTACAGTTGACAGTGCGTGTTACTTAAATTTTTGAAAACTGACATTATCATCTTAATAATAGCAGATAAAACAAGCCCAGAATATGAAGCCCCTAAATTTTAGAAAACAGGCAACAGCCTTCATGAACAGACATTTTAGTAATAAAATAAAATAATAAAAAAATTCAGGGGAGATAACATCATAAAGTACAAGGACACCATGACACATTGCTCCTGTTTCTGCCACTGCATTTGGTTGTGAAAAAAAACAAAATAAGTAAGTAAATAAATAAATATACCTGGGAACTGCTTTTTACCAAAGGAATGCCAATCTCTGTGAATAATTTTTACTTTGGCTTTTTTTGCTTCCATGTTTGACAATGACACAAAATGATTAACACTGGAATATATTTTCCATAAATATGATGGGACCTTAAGTAATTTCCCTTCTTTTTGCTGCTAACACACCAGAAGTAGATATTAAATCCAACCTACATGTCTTAAGTAAAACAAATTTTCATGTAAAACATAAACCTACTAAAACTTTTTCCCCCTCTGAAGCATTTTTGTTCAGAAAAAAATGTGGAGATCATTCAGGGAGTATAGACTGACCGTTCTGAAATATAAAATGCGTGATCTCACCTATGCAGCACTTGGTGAAGATGGCACTGAAGAATCAAAAGCAAAGTGACTAAAGTGTCATTTGACTCTAAAACACCTCTATGTTAAAAAAGACACATTATATTTTACAGGGTAGTTGAATACACGTATACTTACAGAATTGTAGTATATATTTGTACTATATATACCTTCTCCTCCATTCTCTCAAAATCACTTTGAGCAGTGTCTACCCTTTCTTGACTTTTCAAAACTGCATTCTATCCTCTCTTTGCTGCTTGCTTGGTAACCTAGAACAGCATTCCTCCTAGATGCCATGCAAATATTCATTGAAAACAGTTACCCTAGAGCTAAGATGGTCACTGCAGAATTTGGTAGAAGATCACTGGAAGTAATGGCAGGAGCATGTAAAGGAACTGGATAAATCACAAATGATTTCTTGCATGTATTGATATGACAATAAAAACTATAAGGGAAGCAGATAGAATTTCTTTTATTTATTTATTTATCTTTTATTAACATATCATTGATACACAGTCTTATAAAGGTTTCACATAAAAAACACTGTGATAACTACAGTCACCCATATTATCAAATCCCCCCCCCAACCCCATCGCAGTCACTATCCATCAGCGTAGTAAGATGCTATAGTCACTACTTGTCTTCTCTGTGCTACACT